ATCCATCCATCATCCCACATCATTCCATCATTCCTCCATCCATCATCTATCCATCATCATCCATCCATCATCCATCCATTCATCCATCCATCATCCAGAATCTTTCCATCAACCATCCATCCAGCATCATTACATCACCCATCCATCCATCCTTCATCCATTGTTCTTCCATCCATCAACCATCCATCCATAATCCATCATCCATCCATGCATCATCCAACCATCCATTCATCATCCATCCATCCAGCATCCTTCCATCATCTATCCATCCAGCATCATTTCATCATCCATCCATCCATCTATCATCCATAATCCATCCATCTTCCATCCAGCATCCTTCCATCACGCATCCATCCTTCATCCATTCATCCATCCAGCATCCTTCCAGCATCCAACCATCCAGCATCCATCCATCCAGCCTCCTTCCATCCATCATTCATCCATCCATCCATCCATCCATTTATCCATCCTTCCATCCAGATGAGTGAGCAGCCTCCTCCATATCATCCGTTCTTCCCTGACGGACCTCCACCTTCAATGTTTCCTTCAGGTCAGTTTGTCTGAGTTTCTTTGAGGACACTTTTTATTGTATTTATTGTGAAAAAGCAGAATGGGAGGAAGATCTTTCAGTTCTCAGGCTCCTCTCTTGTGGACCCAACTTCCAGTTTCTGTCCGTGAGGCTGACACATTGTCCAGTTTTAAGACTGGGATTAAGGTCAATCATCCAGGTAGACAACAACAAAACTGGTTAAATCATGTCATCTGGACCTATTCCTTTAAATGAGAACCAGTGAGGACCAGTCTCTTTAAGTGAGAAAAATAAGACACATTACTGTATATTATCTTGAGAACGATTACTCAAAACACACACTTTTCATCATCATAAAATTGGAATGACATTTTTGAATTAATATAAAATTAACATGCAGGTTAACTAAAGGAGGTGCTGTTGGACCGTGGACATTTCTGCAAAGGAAGTGTCCTTGAGAACAAAGACTATTGTGTAACCATCAAGGGAACGAAACTCTCATCCAGGCAGTCCAAGCACCGAAACATCTGCTGGGATGTTTCATCTCAGGATCTTCAGGTTCATAGAAAGGTTCTCAAAGGTTAGTGAGTTCATTTTGGTAGGGTAAGTAATAGAAAGGTACTGCCTTTCAGATATTGTTCAAACTTGGGAAGTTGTAAACTGAAACATCCATCCATCCATCCATCCATCCATCCATCCATCCATCCATCCATCCATCCATCCATCCATCCATCCATCCATTATCTTTACCCGCTTATTCCATTTTGGGTCACGGGGGTCGCCGGTGCCCATGTCCAGCAATCACTGTGCGAGGGGCGGGGTACACCCTGGACAGGTCTCCAGTCCATCACAGGGACACATAGAGACAAATGAGACAAACAACCATTCACTCTCTCACCTCGGGACAATTTAGAGTTACCAGTCAGTCTAACATGCATGTTTTTGGTCTGTGGGAGGAAACCTGAGCATCTGAAGAAAACTCACACATGCACGGAGAGAACATGCAAACTCCACCCAGAAAGGCACCCGGACCGGGGTTTGAACCAGGGACCTGCTCGCTGAGAGGCAGCAGCTCTACCAGTTGCACCACCGTGCTGCGTAAACTGAAACAATGAATCAACAAAGTTCATGCTCAATCATCCAGGTACCAAATCCAATAATGCTCAGTCAGGTCATCTGGACAGGTTCTTTTTTTACAGAAACGTTTCGCCCTCTATCCAGAGGGCTTCATCAGTCAGAGGAGTTCCAGTAAACTGTTTCCCTACCAAGCAGTAAACTCCTTAAGTGGACCAACCAGTTTGCTGGAGCTAAGATGGTTTCTGGGGGCCGTCCTGTCCCTCGTCGACTCCTCCCAGGCAGGCAGCCACAGCCAAAGTGGTTCAAGGCAACAAAGTGAAACAATGAATGTTTTATAACATACGACATCTGTTCCAAAAGAATGGACCGGTCTTATTTTTAACAGTTTCAGAAAAACAAATTATTGGATTCTTAATCTGAGGGGTCCCTCTACACATGTCTGGTACATATTTTAATAAAAGTTTAAAAACTCTTTCTGTGTACAGTGTAGTGATGTCGGGACAGCTTTGGCTGCGGACATACTACTTAATTAATTATTCTTAAGGCTAGTTCAAGCACAAAGAATATTAATTGTTTAATTAACAACGGATTCTTTCTTTTTCGAGTTAAATTTCTGTCATGTGACCAAGATAACTTGAGAGTGGAGTGTATAATTAGTGACATGAGACGCCATTTTATCTTTGACCCATCAGAATAAATGCGGTCATTTATTTAACAGAATCAAAATTTGACATCAAAACATGTACACTTGATTTGCTGATCTGTTTCTGATTAATAAACTTAGCAAGTTCAAATAACAAGACAACAGAAGATTACTGATGGAGAATGATTCATCTCTGAAGGCATTTAACTTGATTTACTGGCGCAGAGGTTTAAAGAGAAGGAGTAAAGTTTAAAGAGAAGATTTAGATGGAGGAAGGAAAATGTGTTGACCAGGAATGGCACCCTTCCTCCGACCCCAGCTCAGCCCTCGGAACACTCAGCGCGTGACGACTTGTTACCTTTGCAGAAGATAAATCAGCTCCGGTACAGAGGTCCATTTCACACTTCTTTCAGCGTCTCCGGTCAGAGTGGCTGGATATCGTCAGGAGTCGTGACGAAGTACTCCGTTCAACAGAATAAGAACTTCCTTAGAAGGAATCTTCGTTAGAAGTTGTAGGGCGTTACGCCCGGGTGAGTTCACAGCGAGGCGTGCTGTGACTCCGCTGGAATGGACGGACCCTTGGCACATGGTCCAATTCCATCAGCTATTAGAGTAGAGACTGTCAGACCCCAGCCTCCATTAAGAACTGAAAGTTCCAGGAAGACTGAATAGTTCCAAGAAGTGTTGACTTTTAAAGGGTATCCACTTCCTGTTATTTGGTACTTCCTGATTGGTTAACACAACCAGCAGGGGTGGAGTTTTAGTGATGTCAGAGGGTTATTAGGAGTCGCAGACAGCAGAAATGTTTTTAAGAATGGTTAGTACAGACAGGAAAATATTTTGAAGAAGTGACAGGCGCCAGTTCCTTAGTTACTGTCTGAGAGTTTTAAAACACGGCACTTTGTTCTCATAACTTGTTCTCTGACTTTTGACTGACATCAAATCCACCCCTCATTCAGAAAGAAGATTAAAATGCACAATTACTTCGTAAATAGACATTTAACTTGTATGATCTAAGTCTAATGAAGTTTAAAAATCATTAATACTGTTTCACAGTTGATTTACATGAGTGGTTCACTTCAACATTAGAAATGGTATGAACTAAACACACTTTGATTATCAAGATATTGTAAAATAGTAATGATAATATAAAAAGAAGAGTGTTCTGTCAATTGATTAATTCAGGATACAATTAAATAGTCTCTTGATGAGATAATTTGTGTTCTGGATTCAAATCAATGAAATAACAGTTCCTGTCCCCTGAAGGTCTTCAGAGACAGATTGTTGTCGGAGGTCTAGTTCACTACAACAGTAAATTAAATTCAATTCAGTTTATTTCTAAAGCTCCAAGTCACAACAGAAGTCGTCTCAGGGACTGAACAGAAACATTCATGTATAAAATAATAAATGAACAGAAACATTCATGTATAAAATAATAATTGAACATTATTTATGTGAGGAGCAGCTTTGAGTTTAACTCCATCACTGAACTCTCATCTTGAACAAGCATGAAGGCGACAGTGGAAAGAAAAACTCCCTCATGAGGAAGAAACCTTTAGCAGAACCAGGACCAGGACAAGAGGACCATCTGCTTCGACCGGCTGGGTTTGGTAAGAACAGATACACAATGGCAGGTTAAGAATCGTATGTTAAGATAGAAATAGTATCAAATGAAAACTATTCAATTTTAACAATTCATTTAAGGAAATGAGGTCAGTTTGTCCTCTAGTAGTCTAAGTCTATAGCAGCATAACAAGCTGACCCTAACAATAGGAATTATCAAAAAGGAAAGTCTTCAAACTGGACAATGTGTCAGCCTCACGGACAGAAACTGGTAGTTGGTTCCACAAGAGAGGAGCCTGAGAACTGAAAGATCTTCTTCCCATTCTCCTGCTGGAAACTCTAGGAACCACAAGTAAACCTGCAGTCTGAGAGCAAAGTGCTCTGTTAGTAAAATATGGAACAATAAGATCTGTAATATAAGATGGAGCTAGGTTGTTGAGAGCTTTGTAGGTTAGAAGTAAGATTTTGAATTCTATTCTGGATTTGACAGGGAGCCAATGGAGAGAAGCTAAAACTGGAGAGAGATGATCTCTCCCAGTAACTCCAGTTAAGACTCTGGCAGCAGCATTTTGGATCAACTGAAGACGTTTTAAAGAAGTATTTGGACACCCAGATAATAAACCATTGCAATAGTCCAGTCTAGACGTGACGAATGCATGGACCAGTTTTTCTGCATCATCTTTAGATCAGATGTTTCTAATGTTAGTGATATTACGCAGGTGGAAGAAGGAGGTTCTAGTAACGTTTTTAATGTGGGGGATAAAAGACATGTCCTGATCAAAAATAACACCAAGATTTTTAACATTAGAGCTAGAGGACAGATTAATGCATCTAAGGAGGGAGAAAGACTGAAACATTCATTCCTAAGGTGCTCAGGTCCAAAAACCAAAACCTCAGTCTTGTTTGTTCAACAGGAGAAAATTAAGGGTCATCCAGGTTTTTATGTCTTTAAGACATGCTTGTAGTCTAAGTAGCTGATTGGATTCATTGGGTTTTATGGACAAATATAATTGTGTGTCATCAGCATATCATCCATCCATCCATCCATTTTCTTTACCCGCTTATTCCATTTTGGGTCACGGGGGTCGCCAGTTCCCATGTCCAGCAATCACTGTGCGAGGGGCGGGGTACACCCTGGACAGGTCTCCAGTCCATCACAGGGACACATAGAGACAAACGAGACAAACAACCATTTGTCATAACCGCGGGGAACCCAGATTTGTATGAGACCCGGAACGAGACAGACTCAGGTGGATACAAAAGAACAGTGTTTATTTACAGGTGAAATAATGTACAGTTCTGGTGCAGCTTCTCTGCAGCTCCTGGAGGAGGTAGAGGAGGACAGTCAGAACGGAGGTGGAGTTCTTAGGAGCTAATATTTGTGTTCTGTGAATCTCTTACAGTTTGGTCCAGAGGCGGGTTCCAATCCTCCAAGAGAGCTTCAGAGAGAGTCCAGTAGCTGGCAGGGCAGGCACTGGCTGGATTAGAAGCACCAGGCAAGGGGAATCCAGGCAAGAGGGAGGTTGATCCAAGGAGGGACCCAAGGGGTCTACAAACCAAGAACAGGCCACGAGGGAGTCCGAGGGACCAGGAACAGGACACGAGGAAGTCCGAGGGACCAGGAACAGGACACGAGGAGTCAGGAAACCAAAGGATCACGAGGGGTCCTTTTAACAAGCCGAGGAACCAGGAAATACTGGAAACAAGAGAGCAAGGTTAGTACTTGTGAGTAATAGCCTAAAAGGCTTGAAGCACAACTACCATGGAAGGTGATATGCTCCAGCGAAGAGTAGCACTGGACTGCAGCCTTTTGTAGCTGGGGACGCCTCCTCAATCTGATGGCCGTCAGGTGTGGGCAATTAGCGGCCATCTTGGAGGAGGAGCTGCAGGCAGTGGTACTCTTACAGTACCCCCCCTCAAGAATCGCCTCCAGGCGACCTGAAGCGCTTCTCGGGGTGATTCTTAAAGAAGGAGGTGATGAGGCTGGGGTCGAGGATGAAAGATCGGGGAATCCATTACCTCTCCTCAGGACCGTACCCCTCCCAATCGACGAGGTACTGGAATCCTCGGCCCCTGCGTCGCACGTCGCGGATGGATCGGACAGTGAACGCAGGGTGGTTGTCAATCAGGCGGGGTGGAGGAGGGAGGTCAGAGGGAGGACACAGAGGGCTGGTGAGGACTGGCTTGACCTGGAACACATGAAAGGTTGGGTGGATCCTCATGGTCCTGGGGAGCTGCAGCCTCACCGCAGAGGGGCCGATGAGCTGGGTGATGGGGAATGGGCCGATGAAGCGTGGGGCCATCTTCCGGGGGGTGTCCTTGAGGGGAATGTCCCGGGTGGACAGCCACACTTCTTGGCCCACCTGGTAGCGAGGGGCCGAGGAACGGTGACGGTCGGCGGCTTTCTTTGTCTGGGTGGCCGTGCGGAGGAGTGTGGACTGCACCTGGCGCCAGACCCTGCAGCACCGTCTGAAATTATGCTGCACGGAGGGTACCGCGCAGTCTACCTCTTGGCCGGGGAACAGGGGAGGTAGGTAGCCTAGGGAGGCTTCGAAAGGAGACAGGCCGGTGGCAGTGGAGCGATGGGTGTTATGGGCATACTCAACCCAAGCCAAATGGTGACTCCAGGCTGACGGGTCCTTCTCTGCCATGCAGCGCAGGATGGACTCCAGTTCTTGGTTGGCCCGTTCAGCCTGGCCATTCGACTGGGGATGGTAGCCTGAGGTGAGACTGGTGGTGGCTCCCAGCGTCCTGCAGAAAGAGCGCCAAACCTGGGACACGAACTGTGGTCCGCGGTCCGACACAATGTCCGAGGGGATACCGTGCAGGCGGACCACGTGCTGCGTCAACATGTGCGCCGTCTCCATCGCAGAGGGGAGCTTAATCAGAGGGACGAAGTGGACCGCTTTGGAAAAGCGATCGATTATAGTTAGAATGACCGTGTTACCTTCAGAGGGTGGAAGTCCGGTAACAAAGTCCAACGAGATGTGGGACCATGGACGACTCGGGGTGGGCAGGGGTTGCAGGAGGCCGGAGGGGGGTTGGGTACCCGTCTTATTGCAGGCGCACGTGGGGCAAGCGGCAACGAACTCTCGTACGTCCGCAGACATGGCTGGCCACCAGAAGTGAGTCCTGGCCAGGGAGATCATGCGGGTGGAACCTGGATGACACGAGAGTTTGTTATTATGAATCCAGTGTAGTACCTTTGGGCGTAGAGCGGTAGGCACGAACAAGGTTCCAGGGGGACCGCCACCCGGGTCCGGTTCCACCTTCCAGGCCTCCCTGATTTCCTCTTCGATGGGCCACGTGAGGGCCCCAACGATGCAGGTGGTGGAAAGGATGGTCTCCTCGGTCTCCGTGTTGTCAGGGGGGGCGAACTGGCGGGACAGCGCGTCCGGCTTGACGTTTTTGGAGCCTGGCCTGAAAGTGAGGACGTAGTTGAACCTGGTAAAAAACAATGACCATCGTGCCTGGCGGGGGTTCAGGCATTTAGCGTCCCTCAGGTAAGTCAAGTTTTTATGATCGGTCCAAATCAAGAACGGGTCTCTGTGCCCTCCAGCCAGTGCCGCCATTCCTCCAGGGCCAGCTTTACTGCCAAGAGTTCACGGTTTCCCACGTCGTAGATTCGCTCTGCTTGGGACAAGCGTTTTGAAAAAAAAGCGCAGGGATGGACCTTGTTGTCCTCCGAGGATCGTTGGGACAGCACTGCCCCTACCCCTGTATCCGAAGCGTCAACCTCGAGGATAAATTGTCGATGTGGATCAGGGTGGGAAAGGACGGGCGCAGAAGAAAATAATGTTTTTAATTTAAGAAAAGCAGTCTCAGCCTCAGGTGACCAGATAAATGGTCTGGAGGTAGAGGTGAGCTGAGAAAGTGGGGCGGCCACTCGACTGTAATCTTTGATAAAGCGTCTATAAAAATTTGCGAAGCCCAGGAACCGTTGCAATTGTTTCCTGGACTCGGGGGTAGGCCACTCGACCACAGCTCTTGTTTTTTCTGGGTCGGTCTTGCAGTGGCCTCCCCCAAAAATGAAACCAAGGAAGGGAACCGAGGGGACATTGAATTGGCACTTCTCAGCTTTCACGAATAACTGGTTCTCCAGTAACCTCTGGAGACCTTCCTTACCTGTCCCGCATGCAGAGAGGGGTCACGGGAAAAATGAGGATATCGTTGAGGTAAACAAACACAAAATCGCCAATGAAGTCGCGCAATACGTCGTTCACGAGGGCCTGAAAAACCGCGGGGGCATTTGTTAAACCAAAAGGCATAACTAAATATTCAAAATGGCCGAGGGGTGTTTTAAATGCTGTTTTCCACTCGTCGCTTTCTCTTATGCGAACGAGGTGGTAAGCATTTCTCAAATCCAATTTAGTAAAAATGGTGGCAGATTGTAACTGCTCATGGAGAGAGTCGATTAAAGGGAGTGGATATTTGTTTTTAACAGTGATACTGTTCAAGCCGCGGTAGTCGATGCAGGGACGTAAGGTTTTATCTTTCTTGGAAACAAAGAAGAAACCTGCACCGACGGGAGACGTGGAGGGGCGAATAATACCAGTCGAGGGACTCGTTGATATATTCTTTCATGGAAACCCTCTTGGGGCCGGAGAGATTATAAAGTCGGCTAGATGGCAAGGGGGCGTCAGGGAGTAAATCAATGGCACAGTCATAGGGACGGTGAGGAGGGAGTGATAAGGCTCTCTGTTTGCTGAACGCCAGCAAGAGGTCGTGGTAGGCAGTGGGAACAGCGGAGAGATCTACCTCCTCACTAGGAGGAGTGACCACTGGCTGCCCGGCGATCGTGGAGCGTAGACAGTTTTTAAGGCACTTATTGCTCCACTTCTCTACTCGCCCTAGCTCCCAATTAATGTCTGGGTTGTGCGTCTTCAGCCAGGGAAAACCTAAAATAATCTGAGAAACGGAGGAGTCGAACACAAAGAAGTCGGTCATCTCATGGTGGTTGCCTGAGATGATTAAGTGAAGCTCGATGATTTTTCGTTGGATGAGCGCCAACGTTTCACCAGTTACACCAGAAACAAAAATAGGAGTGATTTCGCGAGTGGGTAAAGAATATTTGTTGACCAGGTCCGAACTGATGAGGTTCTGTTCGGCGCCTGAATCAACCAGGGCCAATAAGGGGACACGAGAACTGTTTATTTGAATAACTGTGGGCAAGAGGAGTTTAAATGGGGAGGTAAGAGCTGAGTTACCCACCATTATCTCCCGCTTTACTGGTGGGCTTGCTCGTTTCCCCCGAAACAGGCAGAGAGGTAAATAATGACCGGGGTTACCACAGTAAATGCAGAGGTTAGCGTTTCTACGGCGCTCTCGCTCTTCAAAAGTCAACCGTGTTCGCCCAATCTGCATGGGTTCTGGCTCGGGGGGCACGGGAAGTTTGGTCTGAGGAGACAAACAAGGCAAACAAGGAGGATTAATAACCGGGGACGTTTGCATTTGATAACTTTCTTTCGCTGTCTTAAAATAACGAGGTTCACCTGAAGGGGCCGTGAACCCGGAAGTGGAAGGTTTCTGGGAGTTGTAGTCCCATTCTCGCCTCCGTTCCCGGAAGCGGTCATCAATGGAAATGGCCATTTTGATTAGTTGGTCGAACCCTTCCGGTTCGTCTCGTGCAGCGATTTGGTCCTTTATCTGGTCGGAGAGAGAGTTCAGAAATGCACCTTGGAGAGCAAGTTCGTCCCACCTCGTTTGAGTCGCTAGGATCCGGAACTCCAGGGCGTACTCAGAAACAGGACGGCGGCCTTGACGTAGGGCTATTTTTTAGTGCGCAGCACCGCTGAGGAGGTACAATGTTTCGAGAGGAGGAGGACTCCATGCAGCACCTCTGTGCATAAATGTGAGCATCCTGTCTCTCCGTCCTCACTCCCCTGCCTCCTCTCTTGCTCCTCCCAGCCTGAGCAGGAGCATGTAAGCGAGCTGCACGTGCTGCGGCTGGAACATCCACTCCACAACTGGGCAACGTTTCCTCTAGTTGGGTTTTTAATAAATAATAGAAATAAAAATGTGTGATGACTTTGGACATTTAGGGGCAGAGATTTGAGTTGCCGGATCCAAGAAAACAGTTGCCAGAACACACCCGGTCAAAATGAGAGATCCTGGATCCTGTTCCGGCAGGATCCAGCTCAAATTAACCCCTGGATGGGCTGCACTGAAATGTAAGTTTGTTGTGCTTGTGCGCAATGACAATAAAGGCATTCTGATTCTGATTATAGGTAGAAACATGAGTGTGCTATGTGAAACATGGGTACATGTGTTATTAACATG